TAGCCCCCACCGCCCCCGTCTTGTCCTGCCGCTCGCTGCCCGCCAGGTCCTGGCAGCGGGGCAGGGGTGGGGCAAGGGGGGGGTGCAGCGGGGCACTCGAGCGCCCAGCTGGTGGCCCCGGTTGGGGAGCGCCGCATGAGGAGCAGCAGCCCCTCGCCGTGTGGCAGCGCACCATGCAGCAGGCCTGCGGGGCACTCCATACACGCAGGCACTCCTCGCCTCCCCACCCACCACCAGGCCCCCGCCCACCACCAGGCACAGCTTGCCAAACTCGGTGCGCCCGTCGGGGAAGGCTCGCTGCACCACCAGGTACACCACGCAGTGGCTGCGGCTGGAGCCTGGGTGCGGCGGGAGGGCGGCGGCAGGGTGTGGGGGGTGCTCCACTCCGCCAGCAGCGCAGCTCGTGAGCATGTGGAGAGCGTGTGCCCCTCCCGGCCCACACCGCCCTCCGCGCCCCCCATCCAGCCCCACCCGCATTCATGGCGGTGGCAGAGACGGCGCGGTTGGCGATGCCGCGCTGCATCAGCCCCACACAGTCGCGCTCGCTGCACACCGGCAGCGCCGTGGCCTCCGCCACCACAATGCCGCGCTCCTTGTCGTGGATCACCTGCGGCGGCAACGATTGAGTGGTTAGGTGGGCGGCAGGGTGTGTTTGTTCACACGTTTTGGTTGTCCAGCCCGGTTTGTGCAGGGCAGCGAGGGAGTGGCAGCAAAAACAAGGTGGCAGCGAGAGGCGGAAGGCGGCCAACGCACGAGGGAGGTCAGCGGGCACCGCGAGCACAACCCAGCCCTCTCCTGCCACCTCCCCCGCCCCCCCGAGCAGGCTGCCACGCCCCTCTGCCCCGACCGCGCGTGCCGCGTGCCTGCAGGTTGTCCTTGGATGGGTCCAGCAGGTCTCGCACCCGCTCGCTGTAGATCTCTATCACAGACAGCGTCACCTGGGGGGGGAGTCAGGGGAGCGGCGCGACATGTGGTCATCCACAGCACGCCCGGCAGCAACGTGGGCATGAGCGGGTTGTTGGGCGCTGATCCACAGCCTCCCTGTGGGGATCCATCACGCAGCACCACAAGACATACGAGGAGTCATGTGGGGCAGCCGCCGGTGCCACAGACGGCCGCGCCTGCCTTGAACTTGCAGGGCTCTGTGTAGGCGGCGATGCCGCGGGCCAGCTCCGCCACCGCCCGAGGCACCACGCCCTGCTGCTGTGCATCGCCCACATCTCCCAGCAGCGTGTGCGTCTTGCCGCTGCCCTGCAAGGCAGGCGCAGGTGCGTGCAGGAGGAGGCACCACTGCCAGCTGGGGCTGCAGCGGACTGCCGTCGGAGCGGCGCTCCCAGCGCGCCAGTGGCGGCAGCAGGTTGCAGCGGCAAGCTTAGCTGCCCCGCCCACCGTCTGTCCATAAGCCATGATGGTTGCATTGTACCCTTGCAGCACCGACTGAACCGTTTCCTTCAGCCCCTGCACAGGCAGCAAGCAAGCAGCGCAGTCCCCGCGCTCGGCGCTGTGCTCGGCGGGCGCTTGCCCGCCCGCCCGCCCACTGCTGCTGCCTTCTGGCGCAATGCCGCTTCATTCAGCGCCCACTCCCCACACTGCAGGCAGCTCCACGCGCCTCAAACGCCTCCACTTGCGTGCAGGCCTCGCCATACACCCGGTCAAAGCCAAAGTGGCTGTGTGCAGGGGCATCACGGCCAGTGTAGTGCAGGGAGCCCTCGTCCACCACCTCCAGGCAGCGAGCAGCAGCCGTGGTGCTCGTCTCCCGCGAGTTGAGTGGCCTCACACGCACCACGACCTGTATGCCATCGGGGCTGCTGCTCATGGCTATTGCAAAAGGGCAGCAAGGGAATGGGGCAAGGCTGGATCGACTGCCTGATGTGCTTGGCTTGCCGCCGCCTAGGTTGCGGCAGGGAAGAAAAGTGGCTTCACTTGGGCTGCCTGGGCCTACTGCTCATGCTGTGGCTGGGCATCGTGGTGTGTAAGGCACGTACATGGCAGAGTGATGTATACAACTCAACGCAAGGTGCACATGCGGGCGACGGCTGCACCTGTCGTGAGCTGCCGCAGCTGCCCTGCAGGACAGCGTGTGTTCCCAATGTCGAACCAGTTCGGTGCGTGAATCAGGAGTCCACAAGCCAGGCTGTACTCTACATCGGTCGGCAGTTGGATTGCCAGCGGGCCACTGCCCAATGCATGTCCCCCTGAGTGAGTGCCCATGTGGCGGCAGTACTGACCGCGGCAGCCTGGCCTCCCCCTGCCCGCAACCACTTCTTTGTGTGCAGAGTATCATGCATTTCATCTGCGGCCTATCCAGGCTCAATTTGGGTGTCAAACCCGCTCTCAGGGCCGCAGTTACCTGCTGCATACCTTACATAACTAGGGCACCAGCTGAAAACGCGCGATTTTTAGGGGACATGAGTTATCAGCAGCGCTTTGTAATACTGGATCAATCAAAAGGCGCGCCGCAGGATGAAGTTTGAGGTCAGTGACGAATGTCTGCTCAAGACCAGCGGCACGGCGCTGCTCGGATTTGGCTCTTGGGCCTTCCTGGCACCCCAGAACAACAATAACTTCTTCAGCAACAAGGTGTGGGCGGTTAATGAGCGACGCAGGTGCTTGGTGCGGTTTTGGCGGGACGGCCGCTCTCGCGGCTGCGTCGGCGCCTTGCAAGGCGCCATGCCAGTGCAGACTGCCCACCATCGCCTGTCACCAACCCCCGCAAGTCACTCTCCTCGCCTGCTGCAGTCAGCCGGATACAATGAGGGCTACACCCGCGTCGCTGGCGAGTTGGCGTCGCTCGCAGGTGCGAGTCTGCGGGCATCTGAACCTGCCAGCGCTGGCATGGCTCCTCCAGCATCCTCCTCCAGCTCTTCAGCTCGATCCTGCAGGCGCCAATCAGTGGGTCATCGCAGCTGGCGACAGCAAGAAGACCAAGAAGCACGCGCTCAAGGCGGCGGGCGTCACGTGGCTGGTGGCATGCGCCATGAGCATCAACAACGCGAGGGTGAGCCCCAATGAACAAGCGGCTGCCGGCGCCGGCTGCACCTGCCCAAGCAAGCAGACGACGACAGAGGAAAGTGGCCGCCCGCCTGCCTGCCTGCCTGCCTGCCTGCCTGCAGACGGGTGCGCAGCCCCAGGATCTGGCCTATGCCGGCGCAGTGGGCGACATGCTCATGGGGGGCCTGTGCCTGTGGAGGGGCTTCAAGTGAGCCCGAGGTGGATCTGGTGATCGGCGCACCGGCGCCCGCTGCACACCATGCACCCGACTAGAGGTTGTGGTGCCCAGCATGCCTGGCTGGCCCTACTGTATCTGGCGTGTAACCTTACAGGAGAGAACGATACAGAGAGAGAAGGGGAGAGTTCCAGTGGCCAATACAAACAGAAAGAGAGAGAGAAGATGCTGCGGAGACAGGCGCCCATGTGTGAGAATAAGCAGGGAGGTGTGGTCGCAGGGGGAGCTCGGCAGCGGCAACGAGTGGCAACGCCGCAGATCAGGCACGGGTAGGAGAGTACAGGCGCGGGGCGGGGCCAGGTGGCCGGCACAGCACAGCACAGCACAGCACGGGGCGGCTACTTGGCCTCGTACCAGGTGTCTGCATGCTTGGCATCCACCACCAGGTCCACCAGCAGCGGCTTGGGGCCCAGGCCGGTGAAGGGGCTGCGCATGCACGCCACCACGCGCTCCCTGGCCAGCTCCGCAGTCTCCCGGGGGCCCTCCAGGATCACCTCGTCGTGCACCTACGCATGGGGGGCATGAGGGGGGCCAAGGGGTGAGATTGGCTGGCCCAATGAGGAGGCAGACTTGAGCTACGATGCCCGCCAGCGCGCCAGAGCCGTCCCCACAACCCCAGGCCAGGCCAGGCCAGGCCAAGCCGCGCGCCGACCGACGTGTCCACCCCCACCTGCAGCAGCAGGCGCCAGCCCATGCTCTGCAGCGCCTCGTCCTCGTTGATGCGCAGCATGGCGGCGGTGGCGATGTCGGCGGCGGAGCCCTGGATGGGCGTGTTGATGGCGGCGCGCAGGGCGTGGCTCTGCGCCGCGCGGTTGCGCGAGAGGGCGGCGTCGGGCAGCTGGCGGCGCCTGCCCAGGATGGTGGTCACGTAGCCGCGCTGCTGCGCCTGCCGCCGCTGCTCGTCCTGCCACTTGCGGATCTGCGGGCCGGGTGGTGGCGGTGGTGTGGGGGCACGGCACGCAACTCTGACGCAGCAGCAGGCACAGGCTGCCCCTGCTGCTCCAGGAAAGCACGGGCGGCGCGGCGGCGCCAGCCCGCAGCCCGCAGCCCAGGCCGCCTCGCCCCCTGCCGCGCTCTCGCTCCGCCCCGGCACACCCGCCCGCGAGCGCGCCCATGCCTCATCCCCACCTCTGGCCTGTCTGCGTACCACCGGTCCACCGTGTCCTTGGCCTCCTCCAGGCTGACCTTCCAGTCCTTGCTCAGCCCGTGCGCCGTCTTGCCGTAGGCGATGGAGAAGTTGAGCACCTTGGCCTTGCGCCGCTCAGACGCAAACAGGTCCTTGAGCAGCGGCAGCGGCGGCGACCCCTCGCCCTCCCACTCCAGCAGGCACCGCTCTGCGGGGTGGGGGTTGAGTGGGGGGTGGGGGCGCCGCATGTGGG